ATTCTTTTATTAACTAATAAAATATAACAATATTTCAGTGACTATACTGAAATATCTGATCCTTTTTAAGTAAATAGTAACTCAACTATTCCCTAGTTTATTCACTAATTTTCAAAACACACTCATCCATCCATACATACATACATACATACATATATATATATATATATATATATATATATATATATGTACAGAGCAACCTCGGTCCTCAAACGTCTCACATGTCTAACAAATCGGTTTTCGATCTGAAAATTCAAGATGAAAATGCCTCGCTTATCGAACAAAATTTCAGCTCTCGAACAACATTGCCGAACCGTGCCGAACTGAGTTAAGCCGAACGGAATCATTTCTGCATCGACCCCCGTGTTATATACATTCGTGTCTCGTGCTGTGACTTTTCTTTTCTAATTTTATTGTACTGTGACTTTTTTTTCTCTCTACATTGATTCCTATTGGAAAATAGTTTCGGTTTACGAACATTTCAGGTTACGAACGGCCTTGAGGAACGAATTAAATTCGTGAACCGAGGTTCCACTGTCTGTCTGTCTCTCTCTCTCTCTCTCTTTTCTCTCTCTCTCTATATATATATATATATATATATATATATATATATATATATATATATATATAAAACATTATTTTCAATATTCTATAATATTGAAAAATGCAATTTCAAGAACATACAGAAGAGTAGACAAAGAATTAATTATTTTACACGAATTGCAATCTTCTATTAAAATTTAAATTTCGCCCAAAGTTTTAGTTATTCTACAAGTGTACCCTGAAGTAAAAAAAAAAGGTTGAGAAACACTGATCTCCACTGAAGTGTAAAAGGAGAAAGCAAATTGTTCATCGTGATAATATAAACAACTGCACAAATCAACGAAAGACTAGAATTACTTACCGTGAATTGCGGCGTACAAGTCGACCTGGCGTACAAATCGACCTTAAGATTCTGAGCTCAAAATTCTGAGATAGGCCTATACCTATCATATAGGTCGACCCCCAAAAATACAGTAGGCTATTAGTGGCCCCAAACTTAGGCCTACCGGTAAATGAAAATAGGCTATATTATACGATAACCTGTGCAAAAAAAAACATGAGGACACACCACTTACCTGTATATTCAGATACTAACTGTAATATCTTTCTATATGCGTTTTACAGCAAACAACCTGATAAACACAATTAAGTCATCATCAACTCCAGTAAAATATTAATACCGTATATTACACATCATGACAGGTAGCTCTTTATAGTACTGCTACGTATCGTATGTTATTGTAAAACACAGTATCACTCATCCGCCATTTGCATCAGTAATGTAAACAAACAACCAGTGACGGTATTTGTGTTACTGTATTATTATTTTATATTAATTTCTGTGTTAATCTGACAGATATGTTTACCAAAGCCAATTTTTAGTGGGATATATTTGTGGCAGCCCGTTGGAGGTATGGTAAGTGGTGTACAGTAAGGAGTGTTGTTTCACTTGTTTACAACTCGGTGGAAAAGGTTTGCATTTTATACCTGCCATATAAGTCGACCCCCTAGTTTTAGAAAGATCTTTTTAGGCCTGAAAACTCTACTTGTACGTCGCAATTTACGATAGTATAAATCATTTGCATAGCATCTCTGATAGTAACTTGACTTTTAGCAAGACGAAACGTTGTCGACCATTATCAATTTTCGACTACGAGTGAGAAGATGTTCCCGGCCCCACCCACTTTGAAAAACCGGATTTAGGAAATAAGTTGTATTAATACCTTTTTCAATATCCTCATAGAATTTCTATAATTTTAATTACAGTTAGTTTTCATTGCAGCTATTCTGAGCGCCATTCCATGGTTATCAATAAATCGTGTGAATCAAAAAAAAAAGTTCTTGTCGAGACAAGGATCCTTTTGCTTCGGGAAGTGCCGTCCTACAATGACATCTGCTCTAACCAATTGAGCTATTGAGAACTTTTGCTGGTAGCACAGGGTCATATCTAACCATATATAAAATTTACTATATTTTTTAATCGTGCAATTTACTCGTGACCATTGATCGATTTGTTTTCTACGGCTTATCAACCCTTTGCAGGTTATTTAAAGCCGGAAAATATTTTTAGATTGTAAGAATCTGTTTTTCTTTTTTTGGGAGATAATAATTATTTAGTGATACAAGTTTTACTAATTAACCCATAGTTGGGGAGAAGAGGTAGTTTCATATCTTTCCCAAGGGTATTTATGTGCAAGCGAATATAATGAACCCGACTGGAATTGAAACTCGGGTCTCTGATTAACAATTCCGATCCATTATCCATTACACCACCCTCACGTCCGAGCTTACAGCACCTGGTATTCCCAAACAGTTACCCATCTAGGTACTGACCAAGCTCCTTAACTACGGTGATTGTACGGGAATCCAAGTTTACCTGAGGAAAGTGCTTACAGGTAAAGAGATACGTAAATAATGGCTGGAACAGTTACATTTGGGTATATTCTTTGGAATTTCATCAATTATGTTGAAAATAACAAAGCGACAAATGCTTTATAACACTAACATATGTGTGTGTTTTCTATGTGTGTGTGTGTAAGTGGGTGTGTAATAAGGCGTGTATCAGTTAATAATTTTAATTATTTCCATTCCACTCTCGCTTGCGAGCGCCCTTTCCCTAGCTCTTTTTCTCTAACCCTCACTTTTGCTTTTTTTCCCCCCTCTCTCTTATACACAATAATATTGCAGTAATATTGCGTAACACTACAATGTCACGCTCAGTAAACCGACTTCTCGATAAAATTCACTCGAAATATGTTTCCCCATTGATATTAATTTTCCTAGCATTGTTCTGGTATATTTTCTCACCAACGTGTTGTATTTTCCCTCTGTCTTTTCTAGAACTATTTTCACGGCAATTGTTCTGGTGAGCCTGGTGCCTTGACTGCAATAATTTAAGCCTGCTACTAAATTGGAAACTAGGTCTCACTGTTTCAGTGTTGAACTAGTTGCAACCGTATATTCTATTCTAATAGATTCTTTTCTCGTACTTCTTGTCTGTGAAAGTCTATTCTGGTTTCTTGCTTCCCTGTCACTTTTGGAAACGTTAAATGCAACGTCAATCGCCATCTTTTGCCTTCCTTAACCCTGGTCTTTTATTGTTCTTTCTCCTCACTAGTCTTCGAATTCTCTTTCATTCTCAGTAACTCCTGGCGTCTTAATGGCATTTTCGCCTTGGCTATGCACTTTTACATATATTCACTCTTCAGTTCAACATACAATTCAACATCATTTCTCAATTTTCTTCAACCCTTTCAAGAGAAAATTCTGAGGTTTGCTAACACTAAATTCCTTAAGACATCCATTGTCTTGCCAGTTCTTTACGCAGGCGCATCGTCTTGCAAAGTGATAATTCCTTTTCGCAACTTCCACTCTTGTTTTTTTTTCTTTCTTTCAAAATCTCCTTTAATCAGCACAGCATTATGTTTCAACTGTTAGGCCCTTTTGAAGAAACTCAGCCTTGAAAATATCTTTCTTATACTAAAAACCTCCAAGAAAAATCCCACCTTTGAAATGCGGCGAGATGATAAAGGATGGCTAGTGCATACAGTGACAGATTGTTGTTATTTTAATTCTGCTTGACGAAGGGACGTTACTATCAACAGAAATGAGATACCATCTCTAAAAATGAGACGCTGCAACCTTTACATATAGACGGACAGATGGTCGATCATGGCTTCCTGCCCTTGATAGCTTTTACTAAGGTTTGTCTTTTTGCTATCTCCCCTAATCCCTGTTCTGTCAACCATTTACACAAGCTCATCATGCAGGTTATTCGCTGCTTCGTGCTGTCCCTCTTGCCGTCAATATGTTCTGTGAGTATCAAATTCTCCAAGCCCTCTTTCCTCATAAAAAATTATTCACATGCTCAATCTATGGGATTCTCAGCATCTTTCTGTAGAGCCACATTTTTCTTGCCTCACGTCTCAACTGTGAGGAGAATGCCCATTATTCACTGCCATTCAGGAGAACCTTTAATACATAACAGCTCAGGTTTCTTTTCTTTGTTGCTAACGAGATTTATCTGTTTCTTAATACTTTGATTATCTTTTGGTAGTCTTCTTTCACTATTCCGATGCGCATTCAGATTTCTTTGTTGCATTAGGTATTATAACTATTTATACTATTTACATTGTTCGTATTGTTATCCTCATCTTTATTACTCACTGCTACAAATAACCATACTGATTTATCCAATGTATTCCATATTGGTCAAACTAGTTACGATGTAGTCCTGTAGTTCATAACTTTTCTATTGGATTTTAGATCTTAAATTTGTTTAGATGCAAAGAAACCGAATACTCCTCAACATGAACTGTTGTTCGGTCTTCCGATCATAGGAGTATAAGTGTCTTTCGTCAAGAGTAACAAGTCATTTCAAAGAATTATCACTAGATCGCTGAAAATGTTCAACAATGAACATTCGTAAGTGTTCGCTAGATATCGTTTCTGGCTGGCATTCAAACATTTTAGCAACCCCTTGGTTGACGCAATTGAATTATAAACCCAACTTAGCAACTTGACTTAGCAATTCTTTCGACTGAAATTCCTCCATCGGCCAAATAAGGCCATGAATATAATCAACAAGTTCCGGAGTTGACACAATTTAAGGTGTCCTAGACAACACTGCATCTTGGGATTTAAAATCTCCACGTTGGAAAGTGGCACATCTCTCTTTTTACAAGTGATTGATTAAATGATTTGTTTTACGGCTTATAAAACCTTTTTTAAGGTTATTTAAAGCCAGAAACATATTTTTAGATTGTAAGAGATTTTTGGGGCGATGATAATGATTTTCTGATACATGATATCTGGGAGAAGAAGTAGTAGATTCATACATTCCCCAAGAGTATTTGCATGTGAGTGAATATAACGAACCTGACTGGAATTTGAACTCGGCTCCCCGATTTCTCATACCAAGCCTTTATCCATTACACCACACGCACATATAAGTTTAGAGCACCTCATATTTCCGACCGGTCATCCATCTAGGTACTGACCAGGTTCAACGTTGCTTAACTTCGGGGATCGGACGAGAACCGGTGTTTGAATATGATATGGCCGTAAACGTGTTTTACAGTTGAGTATGATGAGCACATGTTGCTCAATGTTTGCACGATACACACATAAAGACTTATGACCATATCAAGTTGAAACAACGGTTCTCGAGCAATCACCGAAGTTAAACAACGTTGAATTTGGTCATTACCATGATGGGTGACTGTTTGGTAATACCAGGTGTTTTAAGCTTGGAGGTGCGGGTGGTGTAATGGATAACGGCTCAGAAATGGAAATCGGAGAACCAAGTTCCAATTCTAGTCGGGTTCGTTATATTCGCTTACGCTCAAATACTGTTGGGAAAGGTATGAATCCACCTCTTCACCCCCTGCTATAGGTTAATTAGTAGGACTTGTATCAGTAAATCATTATTATCTCCAAAAATTTCTTACACTCTAAACATATTTTCTGGCTTCAAATAACCTGAAAATGGTTGATAAGACGTAAAACAAATCAATCAAATACAATTTTCTTTGACGTGTTCTTCTGCGGGAACAGGTACACCTCGATGGCTACAATTTCAACATTCAATAGCATGGTTCATTCAGTGGTATAAGACAATGTTTCTCAACAAGAGTTGGGTGAAATTCTCTCTAGGAAGGGGGAATTTCAAGCATTCAAGGAAGTATCTTTTACTTTTTCCCGATTTTTATTTACAGAATTTCAAGTTCATCATTAATGTCAAAAAAGTTGGTATAAAGACTTATATTCAATGATTCACATCTATCATCATTAATGGAAAATGCAGGCCTCAGTATGTATTTTATTGTCAAGCTTTGTCAAATGATTCTTTAAAACCAACAACGTTCAAGCAACAGTCATAAAAATATTTTATAAAAATAATCCATGCAAATATATATGCAGTAATATGGAAATGAATGAAGATTTTCAATAATATATGCATATTATTTGGAATTCATCTTCTGAGGCAGACAATCTTGGAAAGGAGCAAATGATATTACTAACTTGTGACGAAACGGGTGGATTAGGCAAAGAAATTTGAGAACCACTGGTTTAAAACAAAGTCAAAAATAAGGATTTTGCAATTTGACACCTTGCAATAAAAAGGGGGACTTTTTCTAGCTCTAGTGACAAAATAAGATTCAGATTTTGTGAAATGGGTTTAGAGGAGAAATTTTCAGCACCTCATCGTGCAGGGAGTGAAACCTCTTCTGATATACCAAAAAGAAATCGAAAAAGAATGTATCATGTCACATAATATTACATGCAGTTGGTAATAAATTAATTTATTTAAAAAAAGAAACATGCTAGTTTGTCACATTTGGTCGCTGATCAAGGAACTGCTTCATAATGAACGGCCTAACTTACACCAATTCACTTTCTTTTGTTTATTTTTCTTTCTTTCATTGCACCAGACTCAGTATTCATCGATAGTACACTTAATCGATACTCAGAAAAGCTTTTCTGTCTTAATTTTATAGACTTAAATCAATAATAATCCCATCTCTACCTGTACTAATTATTGTTACTGGTGTTTCAAAAGATAATTAATTAAGAATTATTAGTTTTGAACAGCAAGATTTACAGTGGGAAGGTATCCTATTTGCAAGATTTTCATTAAATATTGCCTTCTTTTCTTTTATCTACTGTCTGATATTATACACCTTCTTTTTCTTCTTCTTCTACTACTACTACTACTACTACTTCTGCCTCAACGTGCCGTGTCACTTCAGGATCATGGATCTCCACAACTTCCTACCCTTTGTAGCTCTTAAGGTTTTTTTTATATCACTGTACTTTTCATTCCATGTTCTGTCATCCATGTACAGTCTTGTTAGAATACAAGAAAACAGTTTGACAACAAAAAGGCATTATCAATGTGTTCTTTTTTTTTACCTGCTAGGCTAATTTACGGCAAGATACATTCGTTCTTTTGGCGTTCAAAAATTCACGTGAAAAATAACTACAAATAGTTTAAGGATTAATTAATTTCAAAAGCATAAGTATTTTTGTATCAATAAATGTTTTTTATATCAAACATTTTACGAGGATTTCTGTCTGTTTACATTAGTGAAAACAGAAAGCCCTAATAAACTTAAAGATAAGCTTTATTCTATTTTATCAATACATGCGGAAAAAAATCAACTCCTTATATCTACAGTCGACTGTTTCACTCTCAACAGGGGTGGAAGAGGGATTTCAATTACTTCTGAATACAACAATTATTTAGGACTTATATCCTCATCTTTGTTGTTATTATCAGCCGAATGTTTTAGGTCGGAATTTTTGCAATGGGGAGTTATTATTATTTATATTATTTAAATTTGAACTAATGTCCTATTCTTCGTTGTTATTATCACTCGATTGCCTCTTGTAAGAAATTCTGGGATGTGGAGTTATCATTATTTACCTGATTTAAATTTAAACTAAAGTCTTCATCTTTGTTGTTGTTATCACTCGAACGCCTCCCGGCTGAGTGTTTGGAATGAGGAGTTATTTATTTACATGATTTAAATTTGAATTAATGTCGTTTGGCTAAATTTGGGGGATGTGGAGTTATTATTATTACTTATTTGGACTCACTAATGTAAATAAATGTAAATTATTTTACCGGGAATATTTTTTTTAATTGTTTTCTTAATAATTATATTCAGTTTCTTTTGATGTTTGACAGGCTTTCAATCTTCACAATCCTTTTTATTGCTTCGTAGGCACATATTTCATTTGCATGATACATTCTACTCAAAGATATATTTTTTACGAATGGTATCCAAAAAAAAAAAATCTCCCAAGAATGAAATGTTGTTATATTGCAATTAATTAAAAAATTAATTAAAAAATTAATTAAAAAATTAATTAAAAAAAGAAAAAAAATCATTAACACTGCTTCTTAAGTTTTCAGAAGAAAAAAAAGATGACGCTATTATACATTTGCACCCCCATCAATTGAAAACGTTCATAATCACCCTGAGCAATGGGGTGGGCCCGGGTGCGAAGCGGAGATAGACGAATCTTTGCTGATGGATGATTACTCTGTTATTTAGTTTATGTGAAATCAAAGGTTCAATGTCTGAAAATTTGGCATCAAATCATTATTTACTTCCTATTAAATATTATTGCTTTTTTTTTTCTTTTTTTTTTGTTTTTGTTTTTTTGTAGTAGTAGTCTTTTGAGGAAGGGTGTAAAGGTATAATTGCGCAAAAAAAAACTTTTACACATTGAATAAATGGTAATGATAACGACAATAATAATATTAGCTGTTTCCTTATAAGGAAATATTTGGCATTCATTGACCAAGCAGCCAGTACTGATTACGGTTGGAATTTCTAAAATATTTCTAATTAAACACTTTATCAGCATGATGGATTCCTCAAGTCCGATAACTATTATCACTCTTTCCAGTAATGATGTCGTAGCTTTCTTCCTAACTTTTCGTTTGAAGTAGTATGGAACGTCAACATCTTGATTATGTCGTTAGTTTCTCTTCGAGTTACATATGCTAGTCATTTTAGTTGTTACAGCTATTGAAAGTCTTTAAGTCAGTTGTTCTCAAACATTTTTCTCTAGCTCGAATTTTCGGAATTAAAATTTGCTCGTACCTCACTAAATTGTATGTGATTAAAAGTACATTTAAAAATAAAAAAAAAAAAACGAGAGAAGATTAAAGGGGGATAACCGCGGATTCGAATTCGGAACATTATCATTGATAACTCTCTGCTCTTATTTGCGGACTTAATACTTGATATAATGCAAAATATCACAAAGATAAAATCGGTCAATAATTATTTATAACTATTCATACTGGGACTCATGCATGCAATTACAAGTAATCCATAATAATGTTTTAAATTTTGAAATCATATTTATTTTTGATATATGAATTTTTTAAACTGTTTCTAAATCTTTGATTGTCTTTCAATCATTCCGCCTCACCTGCTATCCTCTTCCGTTGTACCTATGAGGCGCACTGCACCGTTTGGGAACCACTGTCTTAAGTGATGTGGTTTCTGTTATTTGGTACTGTTCTTTGTTTGTGATTATGTAGCGTCAGTCTACAAGATTCGAAGAAGGGTGGTTCTTGCTAAGAGCTACAGGTTTCATTTCCTCAAAGTCATTTTCGCCATATTTTTATCTAAGAAAGCGTTTGCATACAGCTGACAGTTTAGATACTTCTGAACGTTTTCGCGCCAGACATGATATTCATATGCAAATCTCGACCATTTAAGAACATACCTTAATTTTTTAAGTTAATGTTTTGGTTATGTAGCAACTTAACTTTAAACGGAAACTGCTAACCATATTACATGGACAAAATAAAAATGGTTCATGTGGTTTCATTTTCATACAGAAGCCAGGTATCAGCACTCACAACGTTTATTAAAACATCAGAATTGAATATCTGTCATTTTTTAATAATTCAATTTGAAACGTAAAACGCGACTGATAAAACTCAGACCCAGAAGCGTATCTACGGAAAATGGCGACAACGGAAAGCACTGAAATTGCGCCCCTCTACAAGCATCCTGAACGGCGACGCCCGTATTTTAGATAACTAATCTTCTGAGAAATACAAATTAAGCTCGTTAATATTTTAATTAACTAATTATCTAACAAGATGGAAATTGCATCTGTACTTTCTTTAATGCATATTGAAGCCAACTGGTCTGTGATGTGCGTCCAAACGTCAATGTTGGCCTGTTTATCTTTCTCCGCACGGTACAGCAAAATCAGAGAGCTATGCAGTTTTATGTAATAATTTATATGTGCCTTAACAATCTAGCCATTCTAATGTTTCTTGCCGATAATAATCAGAAACAGATCTTATAGAAAAAATTAGCGACTCCCCATTTGTGTTGTAACAGAGTAACAAAGGACGAGACAAATGAACAGTTTAAAAAGCATACTTTTACATAAGTAATACATTATACAACGAGAATGAGAAGAGAGAATTGCTAAACATATTTCTTTAGCAGTTAATGTCATGGCATCGGGGAAGGAGTCTAATACATGAATCTGTCTGAAATTGATTGAAACGCTTATCTGAAGTTGATCCTATCTCTTCTTCTGATGTCTGCTTGTCGAAGTATTAATACGTCAATTCGGGTTTGCTCGTGGCCAGCATCGCCTGTTCTTGAAGTAGGCTAAAACGCATCCTTTCACCTCGATGGTCTTCAAGCCTCTCACTTTTGGCGCCTAAAATCCATTTGGTGCCTAAATTTGGGTCTTACCCATTAATATCAGATAAATAGGCTCATCTTCCCTGTCATGGATCTTATCAACCAAGGGAAGATAAGCTATATTTTTCATAATCAGATATCTGAAGAAGAATTGTTTCATTACGAGAGGGTAATTTTTTGCCTAACTTTAGTAGAAAATGCTCAGTGGCGCCCCGTCAATTGGATCCCAGAGCGCGTGTTATATCTGCCCCAGTAGCATGCAGAAGGAGGCATCTATATCAAGAGGGAACCTAATCAAAGAGTAAAATCAAAATTTAGTTGTTGAAATTTGATATTGTCTCTGTTAACTTCATTGTACAAGCGCCCAACACTAACACAAGTTGGTATGAATGTGAACCGTGTTTTGATAAGCAAGGGCGGTGTAGTCTTAGGGGCATACAATCAAGGAGTTGCCCCCTCCCCACGGCATACGTCACTGTATCTATCATACCTGAGGAACACCACTATCCAGTTCGTTACTTAAGTAATATTTGTAAGCTCATCTAAAGACAGTCAATTTATCTTGTTTATAAATGCAATATAAACAGTGTCATTGGCAGTGAGTGTCAGTGATTTGTTTTTACGGTTTATCAACCCTTTGCAGGTTATTTAAAGACAGAAAATATTTTTCTAAGTTTTTGTTTGGAGATAATAATGATTTACTGATACAAGTACTAATTAACCCATAGCTGGGAGGAGGAGGTGGATTCATACTTTTCCCAAGATATTTGCGCATGTGAATATAACGAACCCAACTCGAATTAGAACTCGGCTCTCTGATTTCCAATTCCGATCCGTTATCCATGACACCACCCACACATCCAAGCTTATAGTACCTGGTATTCCCAAGCGATCACACATCTAGGTAATGACCAGGCTCAATGTTGCTTAACTTCGATGATCGTAGGAGAACAAGTGTTTCAACGTGATGTGGCCGTAAACTTGTCATTGGTGTTAATAGGTTCGAAACTATTATAAGATGAAAAAAGCCTAAAATATAACGATTACTAGTAGAATTTCTTTCATTGTAGTTACGTTTCGCAGACCATTATTCTACTAGGACGAAAAGTAGAAAGAATAAACTTCCGGACTCGCTTTCGTGTTTCTCCTGAATCCTGTCGTCACATGACAACTGCTTTACCGATTAGGTCACGGAGACCTTCCAACTTAACCTGTTCAACTCTAAAAGCAACTCCTTATTTTTCTCCACTTCCTGATACGTCAACTTCTTTTTTATTTACGTACATTTGAAAAGTTTCTCCATAAAATGTACGGTCAAGTATCAATCAGTTTATCTAAAATGTTCCAAAAGCCTTTATGTAAAATATAATGAAAAATAATCCATTAGACCTTCTTGCCATTGAGGTTTTGCACTGTGTATCTGGTGTCTTTCACTGGAGATCAGATGACATCAAGTTTCCTCAAAACTTCAGAATTCGAATCAGTTTCATTTCTTCTTCTTCTTCTTCTTCTTCTTCTTATTATTATTATTATTATTATTATTATTTGTGTATGTTATCTTTTTCTCCTTCTTCTTCTTCTTCTTCTTATTATTATTATTATTAGTATTATTATTATTATTATTATTATTATTAGTATTATTATTAATTCGATATCTGTCGCTTCACTGATGTCAAGATGATTTCAGCTTTAAATTGTTTATTTATTTATTGGAAAATGTATTCAGTTTAAATACAAAAGGAGTCAATGACTTCAAGGGGCCGTACATTTTAGTTTATACACTTTTCCTGTTACCCAAGGGTTGTTATCAGACAGAAAGGGAGATTAACACCAGTAACACAAATGTCCGTTTCAGTTTCATTCAATTGTGTGTGTGTGTGTGTGTGTGTGTGTGTGTGTGTGTGTGTGTGTGTGTGTGTGTGTGTGTGTGTGTGTGTGTGTGGGCATGTATATTTAAATCCAATGATAGACCTAAAAATATCTCTACAAAATAAAAATAGAACTTTAAAAAATAATTCTATTTATTACTGAATAATTTCTGAAAAACATCAAGTTTTTTTTTGTCTCCAACTTTATGATTTTATTGTTCGGCACAGGGTAGTTGTTGTCCAGACTGAGTGGAAGGGGAGTGTATCATTACAATGTCTTATTTCAAATTCAATCAAAGAGTGTGTGTGTGTGTATACGTGCTTATGCACGTGTGTATACGTGTGTGTGTGTATACGTGTACATTAACTGGCAAAAGCAAATGTAAGTCACTCACGCACAACACAGCATGCATGTACGGTAAATTATGCACATGCAAAATTACACGCAGCGTGTGACGGACAGAGAATCGTCTCTTCTTTTGTAATATAGATTATTATTCACTCACTGATTGTTCACACCAATAGTAACAGTTTTCCTACGCTTGAGATTAAGTGACAGCAAGTCTCCCAGTACTCCAGTTGTCTTCTATTCTAGATGATAATGATTATTATTATTATCTTTCTTTTTTTCTTTTTCTTTTTTTTTTTTTTCTCTCTCTCTTCAATACATTCCACGGGTGTGGAGTAAAGCAAGGTAGTAAATATACGCAACCAATTACGCAGCACTTATTTCGATTAACCGTGTTACTTAGAACGATTACTTCGCTACTTATGTAAACGTAAAGACGGCCTTAACTGCCAGTAGTATAACTAAGTGGCATATGACTATAAAAAGGCACTGTTGATTACGTACGCTTAATTTGGTTAAATAATGCACAAAATATCGTTTGCGTCGCGTTGCAATAATTGTAAGTAAAATAATTTACAAAAATAAGTAATCAGGTAATCGTTTTAAGTTCTCTGAATATCGGTTCCGTAAAAATATGCATTCTGTTTGCACAAATTCTTAAGTGATACGCAACATGTACAGTGTTTATATTTCCTCTACATTGAAAATACTGCCTTAGTGCATTAATCTTTTGTAAACTAAACAGGGGCTACCAGGGATCTTATCAATGTTCGTGTCTGTAGTCAGGGCGCCACTTGTTATATAACAAACACTAACAGTAGTTTTAAGATGCCACATTTATTATTATTATTACTACTACTAGTAGTACTACTTCTACTACTTCTAACATTATTATTATTAATAATAATAATAATAATTTTATCATTATTATTATTATTGTTGTTGCTGCTGCTGCTGCTGTTGTTGTTGTTGTTTTATTTCCTCTGATTTCTGTTGTATACTCATTTCCTTCTGGGTCCCAACCAGCGACCTAAGGTCAGAAACGGCATCATGATACTCTCCACTGAGAATTTTTGTAAACAACATAACAAAAAAAATCCCTAAGATCACAAACATAAAGCCCTTAAAGCGTGAGATTTGTGAGTACAATTTCCTTGCATTTCTTTAAGAAGAATCATTAATTATTATTATTATTATTATTATTATTATTATTATTATTATTATTATTATTTCTAACAGAGAAATTATTACTGTTGCGACGGACAGAAAATCTGTCTCAATTATTTTTTTACACTACACAAACAAAATAAATAAATAATAAAAATTATTAAAAAAAACAATGTGCAATGTATGGATTTATTTTCCACTAATTATAAACAAAAATGAAAATGAAAAGTCGCTGTCGTGACAAAGGGCAACAAAAAAGTAAAATTATTTTTAACTGCAACAACAGAACCTATCCTCATCTTTTTCTCGTATACTTCCGAGTTTCCGTAACCCGTTCCTCGCCGCCGCGATCAATTAAATTAAATTTCAACAGATACGAACGAGCCACTTATTATGTAACGTGCGGGAGAAAGCTTTTCGATTTTAAAGTCTTCAAAATAAACTAAAAAGCATTTTTGTGGTTCCGAGAAGGAAAAGGCAAAACAAAAAGACTAAAAGAAATAAAAACGAATTAAATGAAATTTATATTTAAAATGCCTAAACAATATTGTGTATGCAGTCACATGTTCCATTAGTAAGTGCGACAGTCAGACGCTTTCGGTATGCGTGTGTGCGTGCGTATGTAAAAGGGGCTCGGAACTTTGAAAGTGAAAGTAGCAATTAAGACAAACCATGTTTCTCTTAGGACTAGGAGTAACACTACAGCAGTAAAAAAAGGGTAGGGGACATGGTTCATTTGATAAAGACATTGATTCGGAGTAATTACATCGATTTCATCTTTAGAGCTAAGGACCATTTGTGTTAGTTTCTTTTCTTCTTTTTCTACAATCCAATCAATATCATGATGTGCTTTTTTATATTCATTCGAGAGTTGATGTAATAATGGGAGGTGTTTAACACTTCACTTCTTATGGATTGAAGTTCGAACGACACTGTGGGTATAGTCTTCGGTTGAATGCGTCCCCGTACTGCATAACTTCCTTTTTTTTTTCTTTTTTTTTTTTTAAAGTGTTACATATCGTTACGATTCAGCTGATTAAAAAAAAATGATGCTTAAACCAGACCAGTTTAGCATTTAAAAAATCGACGAAAAATACCACGGTATTTTCTATTTCTCGTAGTCATTCGAAAAACATGTCAAATATTATCTAAGTTATGATAAAGAAGAGATTTGTCAGCGTCTGCTGACAAATCTCTTCTTTATCATAACTTGTTTTACTTCCGAATTTTTTAAGCAGGTAATAAATTAGACTTTGGGCAAGTCTTTTAAACCTCGTACTCAATGCAGTCATTCACAAGTGATATTTTTCATTGTTGAATGTCACACTGGTACGACTGAAAACTACGAAATCATAATAATTATTTTTTAAATTATGAAAGAAAAAATGTTACTTCGTAAATTGTCTTAAAAAAAAATGATTATGATTTGATTACGTTAAAAAGCTCTGCTAAACTATGTTTGACTGCAAAAACATCAAATAATGAGGAGATTTTATCTAAAAAAAATGTATATCATTTCCATTTACTGTAATCAAATTTGGCTTATTTTTATTTTAGTTTTCAATTTTTATTTTTAGAAAGAAATAATATTTGTTCTTTGTCTATTTCAGTCAAGCTAAGTTGTTGTTATCAACAAGTTTAACAACACCAACCAAACATTATGAATAAGCTTCTTTTTTTCTTTTCTTTTTTTTTTACAATGATGTTCAGTGTTCACTCTGTACAAGAGCCACTCGATGCAGAGTAAAATGCACAGTTTATGGAGATATGTGGAAAAAATAACGATTAAAAATTAATCCTAGACTTGAACAGGTTAAGATTGCATTTGTACTACAATACACTCATTGAATGTAGTGAGCATCCTCTTGAGGGAGCGAATTTTTTTAAGTCTCGAAAGAACAAATAATAATAATAATAATAATAATAATAATAATAATAATAATAATAATAACCTGCAACAGTTTTCCTGTCAACCTCTCTCGCTATTTTAAGCAAGGTTGCGGGAAAAGTGAAAATTAAAAAAAAAATATATATATATATATATATATATATATATATATATATATATATATATATATATATATATATATATGATTAGGTCAAATGTAAAATGTTTATTTTGGGGCACTTAAAATTATCTGAGCGTTGACTTCTTCACAGACGTAAAGGTACTATTTTCAATTTTCATTCATTCATTCCTTTCTTGTTAGCCGCGCCACCTGATGTTGCACGGTTCATTCATAAAAATGCCCTGTCTTTAGCTGAAGTTTTCTACATTTGCTTATATTGTCTTTTCTTTTCTTTTTTTCTTTTTTTTTTTTTTTTTTTTTTTTTTTTTTTTGTTTTGCGTGAGTATTCTATAAAACACGAAAAAGTATATTCAAGGTTTTAGAAATAAAAAAAATAATAAGGACTTTGAATAGCGTAACATAACGATCCTTGAGAGAACAAAAGAGCGATCGTATCGTACACACTTTCTCTACTAGTTAGTAGTATTCTAATCAACTGCGGAACGTATTGAAAGATTTTATTATCAAAGAAGAAAAAGAAAAGGAATGGAATATATAATTAACAAACATTACAAAAGCTAGTAAT